AGGGGCAATGAATGTGGATTTGGATGGAATGACAAATCTCGGGCATTATATTGTGACACAAACGGTTATGAATTTCAATATAACAAAGTCCAAACTGTCCTCTCAGGTCCTCGGTCCTCCAGAGTAGGAGTGTACCTGGATCACAGAGCAGGTATTCTGTCTTTCTACAGCGTCTCTGAAACCATGACTCTCCTCCACAGAGTCCAGGCCACATTCACTCAGCTGCTCTATGCTGGAGTTTTTCTTTATGGACTTGGATCCACTGCAGAGTTGATTAAAGTCAAACAGAGAAGACAGGTTCATGTTGATCTCTGACCATTATATGTACTTGTGTAATTTCTAAATGAGCTGAGAAGTTCAGTGGTCCATTGATGTGTGAAAATAATATTGCACTGATTCAAAATGAACTTACATTTATGGGCATTTTTTACGATTATGTAATCGTGCTACTAACAACCAGTTATTGTATTTAGAGTAAAATCATTTAAAGACATTTTTAGATGAAAGGTTTGTACTTGATAACTACTTGAACTGCTTTGTTTGAATTTCAGAAGATTTGGCAGGAATTTTGCTCTTAGGCTTTTCAGTTTACAATCCAGACTTTGGAGGAGAACAAATAAAATCTAAAAGTGAGCTGTAGTGAGTATTGATTTCTTCTCTCAGTACATAAGATAACCAGTCCCAGTTCAAATCTGTTGCCAGAAGACTCATTAAAATCATGGTAGTTACTCTGTATCTGATGCTTTAAAAAAAAACAAACTAGTTTAGAATAAAGGTTTCTGATGTTTAGTTGAAGAATACTTGGACCAGATGTGAAAAGCAGTTAAAAACAGAACATTGATGAGAGCAAACAATAGGGGCATGATATCAGCAAACATTATGGTTTAAAATAAAAATAATAAAACTCCAATAAAATTTAGGCAGATATTTCTGCTTCCTACTCGTCTGCAACACATCCACCATGTTTCAAATATTCCTGCTGTTTTTGCGCTAATTTTAGTTTCTGCTCGCAGGAAGTTCATGTTGAGCTCAGTGAGTCTGATCTGAATTCATATGTGAGAAAATGATTACACACAAATGAACCTGGAGCAAAATGAGCAGAGAGACTGAAAGAAAAATTGATCACAGCTTATCACAAACATCATTATATTTGTGATAATGATGTGAAAGAAAAATGTTCAAAGAACAATATTAATAATATAATTAATTATGTTACTCTCTCTGCTTCTAAACACTGCTGCTCTTCCTTATTTAATGACATACAGGAGCAGAATGATGGAGGACCTGTGATAAATATTGTATCAATAATAAGGTTAAGCAAGTGTCTTTCAACATGTCGCAGATTTGTTGTACGGGCCTCTTTACACTGTCTCTATAAGTTTTGTAAACCAAAAAACAAACAAACAAACAAACAAAGGTGTCTGCTCAGTCAGCAGTGTAGGGGGGAGGGGCTCTAAGTTGACCTAACGGGCTGTGAATGGACAGCAGACTGCAGAGGGAAGTGACGTCTCAGGAAGTGACGTCTCAGGAAGTGAAATGAGAATAGAAGTGGATGGTGAGCGATGTAGCGGTGAAATAAGATAAACACAATAAGACAAACAAACAGAAAACAAAGCGGAAAAGGAGAACAACAAGCAGAGTGAAAGTAAACCTGTAATGTGGAGGAAACGGCGCAGTGTAACCGTGACAACGAGACACGAGGACGGATTTAAAGTGATCATAAAATCGTCTCCAGACGGTCGTCGTTCGGTGAGTGGAACCAGATTCAGCTACAACAGCGATAAATACGCCTGTAGAGAGATGAAGAGTGCTAAAATACTGAGAAACAGCTCTCTGATGAGTGTTTGTAGGGATGTGGTTCAGCAAAATAAAGACACACGACTCTATAACATGCTGCCACATAAAATACATCAAGTAATTAAATAAAATGTATTTATATATCACTTTTCACAGATAAAAATCACAAAGTGCTTCACAATTAGATTAAATTCAATCAGAAGCATTATCAAGGACTACAACATCTAGTCCTTTTACTGAATATAAGTTCGTTTGTAGTGGAGTCTTGGCAGCGTAACGACAACGATAGAGAGTCCCACAGCCTTGGTGCCTGAAAAGCCTGATCCCCACAGGTTTTGAACCTAGTACGTGGGGGCAACAGTAACTTCTGCCCTGAAGAACTATGTGCTCGGGATGAAGCATGAGGTTTCAACAGGTCAGCGATATACTGGCCTAGCTGATGAACAGAATCAACCTTTTGAGATTTACTTACCTTGATCATTAAGCACGCATCAAGACCTTATTTTATTAATATATTTTAAATGATAGCAGCACAAACAAAATATGTTGCAGCACAAACGTAGCACAAATGTTTGACATCAATTTAGTTTGATTTGTGTAATGTGGAGGGACTGGTTGATCTTTTGACCTTTACATTTTCATTAACATCTTTAAAACAGAAGCAGCACAAATGACAATTTTAGCAGTAAATGGCAAATTATACTATCGAATTATAAAATTGATGAAAGAATATAATTATCCTTGTTTTTCCTGCTATTCTCCTGTCCACACTCCAGTCCAGTAGGCGGGATTAATGCACCTGTAAGCTGATTTGTCAAACGCCATCAGGCCCCGAAGAAGAACGGAGGAGGACAGCACTACTGTGGTAGAGGAGCGGTGTGTGTGCAGACATGGCTGCTGTTGATGAAGCGGACTGAACTTAGAGGAGAGACACAAACTGAAGTATTGATCCCGTCACATCAGTGTGGATCTGATACCAACGTCTGGATCGCTTCATCGATGCTTGTATCGATCCGCTCAGCCTGAGTTGAAGCAGCGATGAGTTCAGCTCAGTATCTGAGAGAGTTCATCAAGGAGAGACTAACTGCTGTTTGTGAAGAAATCTTCTCAGAGGTTCAAAAAACCATCGTCCAGTATGAGGAGGAGATCAACCGTCAGCACAGACTGCTGGATATCAGCCGGAAACCCGACAGAAACTCACACATCATAGGTATGGACGTGTTTTTAACTCTGTGCTGTTCAAGCTCAGATTCTTCAGTGTGACTGACTTTACTAGAAGATGTTAAACTGGGTATTTATCAGTGCTGTGGGTCAGTGTCCAGTGATGGACTATGTTGGACTGGTGCAGGTCCATGGTCACTGATAGGTTAGGTTTTAAAACATTTTAATGGATTTATTTATTAAACTTTTTTTTCTCTAACAGATTCCACTGTTGAGTACATCAGGCGTGTGTTGGATCCTCTGTAAACACTGAGGCTGTGCAGTAAAGATCTAGTTAGATGTCAGCAGAAAACACATTTAACAAGTTGTTAACAGACTTCTCTGAAGTTGAAGTGAAGCTTCATTTAAAGAAGGATTTCAGACACTGATGTTTTCATGGTGTCACCCTGCAGTTTACTTTGGTGAACTTTGTGTCTTTGCTCACAGTGAGGAGCTTCAATGCTAACATGTTAGCGTTTAGCTGTTAGTGTGCACAACTATTTCCCTCTGTGTGTGTGTGTGTGGCTCATAATTGGTCATATGACAGGCTGATCGGCATTTATTCAGGTTTTGATTCATGCTTTATAAAATAGTTTGAGTTTATGTATCAACACATTAGTCATTATTATTCTTCTGTTTCTTTGTTCCTCGAGACTTCCCACGACAACATGACTGTGAGGAAGAGGGGGGTCTGGATGAGCAGCAGGTCTGTAACCAGGAGAGGAACTCCAGTCTGGACCAGGAGGACCCAGAGCCTCCACAGATTAAAGAGGAACAAGAGGAGCTCTGCAGCAGTCAGGAGGGAGAGCAGCTTGGACTGAAGCAGGAGGCTGAAGGCATTATTGTCTGGACTGATGAAGAGCAGCTCAGACAGATGGAGACTATCTGGAAACCTGAGATAAAGCTACACAGAATAGGTATGTAAAACTGTGATGTCTTTATAACATTGAATATGACTCACAGGCGTCACAGTGGAACAGTGGTTAGCACTGTTGGCTCCCAACAACAAGGTCCTGGGTTTGACTCCACCAGGTGTCTAGGTCTTTCTGTGTGGAGTTTGTATGTTCTCCACTTGTTCACTCTCCAGAGACATGCACAGAGCTGGGTTAGGTTAGTTGGTGACTCTAAATTGCCCATAGGTATGAATGTCAGTGCAAATAGTTGTCTGTCTTTCTGTGTTGCCCCTGCGACAGAGTGTTGACCTTTCCAGGGTCAACCCTGCCTCTCCCTATGGTAGCTGGGATTGGCTCCAGCACCCCATACCCTAATAAGAACAAATGGAAGAGAATAACCACAGCTCAAGGTTGCATTTATTTTTAGAGGCACAAGAAGAATTGAAGGTCCAACTGTAATAAGCAGCATGAATGAATCTCTTTAGCCTGATTTTCTGTTTTCATTTACATGAACACATTTTTACCATTAACTCATGCAAAAAGGTAAATGCATGCATAAAATCCAGCAGAATGAAAGATGTGAAACATCTAAGTTTCTCAAAATATTTGGAGGGTCATGAATATCATTTATGAAAAAAAAGGGCAGAGACAATGCTTTAATTTCAGGGGATGCTGAAAAAGCCTTTAACAGGATGGAATGGCCGTTTGTATTTGAAGTTCTGAAAAAGTTTGGTATTGGAAACAGATTTTTTAAATGGATTCAATTGATATACTCCAATCCTCAAGCAGAGATTTTAACTAACGGTCATTTTTCCACACCATTCAGACTACACCGCGGAACTAGACAAGGGTCCCCCTTGTCACCTCTCTTGTTCACCTTGGCAGTTGAATTGGCAGTTGAGCCTCTTGCATTGTCAATTCAATTCATAAAAACATCAGGAATTAAAGTAGGCAATATTGACCATCGTATTGCCCTATATGCTGATGATGTGATCCTGTTTTGCACCAACTTAAACAAATCAATACCATTGATATTAAGTCTTATCAATATATTTAGTACATTTTCTGGTTACAAAATAAATTGTAACATGTCCAAAGTATTATTTTTTTAATAAAAATAATCGAAAAAATCCCCCAATCAACACTCCCTTTCTGTGATCTGAACAGGGGTTTCCTTATCTGGGTCTGAAATTAACTCCCCTCCCTTAATTAAGAATATTCTTGCATCTGACTATAACTCCTTAACGTCAAAACTCTTTCTTTTCAGATTTTCAAAAACTATTGGAATAACAAAAGACCAAGGATCAGACTCTCCTTACTCTACCTTCCTTATGAAAGAGGGGGTTTACAACTTCCAAATTTAATGTGCTACTTTTTGGCTACCAGGAAGACACTAAGTAAACAAACTGAGAATCCGTTTCTGAAAAACACTATAATAATCTGGTTTGAAACACATAACTACTTGGGAGAAACATCACAACTGTCAAGGTTCCCTCCAATATTTAGAAATAACAGCTTTCCTCCCGGTAGGGCAGATGCAGGCTTTAGACTTTGATTCGATCAAGGTATAAGAAAAGTGTCTGATTTATTTAGGAATAATACTCTAATGTCTTTTGAACAACTTAGAAGTACATTTTCTATTCCTGCAAAACACTTTTTCAATTTTCTTCAATTAAGAAATTTTATTTTAACCACACAAGGTTAAAGCTTAGAACTCTCCACGTACTGTTCTCTAGAGAGCACAGTTATAAAACATCTAAATGGGAGAGGTCAAGTTTCTGCATTTTTCCAAAGTGTTTGTTGATTCTTTGGAGTTTTCCATAGAGTCTA